GGTAAATACAGTGTTCGAATAAAGGACTTAATAAATACATCGTGTAGCATAGCTCTCAACGAAGTAGTCCTGTAAATAAATGAATAAAGAAATTGTGTAATAAAATGCCTCTGGCGGGATTCGAACCTGCGACCTCTCGCTGATACACTCTATTACACAACAACAGTGTTAACGGCTACCTTGATTTATGTTATATGCACCTATTTGTTTCTAGCCGTACCTATTGTGTAATAGAGTGTATCACCATGGATACGAAAGTGAACTGTACAGTGATCTGAGGTAGAAAGCGGGTCATTTACTGTAACATCACTTATATTTGCTGCTTTGTTTGTAAATAGAAGACCTAATACTGTGCCCGAGTTCCCATCCATAGCGAAATGAGTTGGAATGTTTACAAGTTGGTCAAGTCCGAGAGATGTTGTCCAGTTTCGTAGTGATGAGAGCTGTTGAGATGTGTTATTTAAGCTCCAGTTGATATTAAAGTCTCCCATTAAAAGTATACCCTCATAGTGACTGATGTCCAATTGAAGCAGTATCTCTTCAAGCTGCACAGCAGAGGTATTGTCATTTGGTGGTCGATAAAACACACCACATAACCAATGTTTTTGTTTTGTGTGGAAGCTTGCCCAAACAAATTCGGTATTTTCGATTGACGGATTATTTATTTGTTAAGGAAACAACTCTGGTGATAGAGCAAGCAGGACTCCACCACCATGTGAATTTCGGTCTTTCGTAGATATGGCTCCATCGGGTATATCGGTGTAGAGCCATGTTCTGTCAAACATTCCAATTGTCAAAGGATTGAATTCATGTTGTTCCTCCAGTTCACTATAATACCTCCATGGTCTCAAACTTACTTAACTGTAATACATACAGCAGCTGTGTATACTGTAAAACAAAAGCGGTTTTGCTATATGCACAGAGACCAGTGGCGGACCGTCAAGGCAAGCAAGGTATGCAGTGCATACCCTGTCTAAAACAAATAAGAAAATATAGTAGTACAGTTTCTGCATTTGATTTAGCATTTCTTAGCCACAATTTCAATAAACCTTAATTTTTTGAGCGGATTGCTGTAGTTTATTGGAAAAGCAAAGTTTTGGCCTACTTTGTTATCTAGGATAAGTCGCATTCGGGCCTATCGCATCGTACTTTCAGCTTGCTTAGAATGAAGCAAGCTGAGAGTATATCTGCACCAGTCAATTGTGTGTAACCTATCAGACCTAGTCTGTAATCGAAATTGTTGCTATTGATGTTGATAGGCCAGCAAAATTGATTTCAAAAACATTTTGTTGTTAAGTACAATTCTTTTTGTGTCTTCCCCACACTCATCTCATATTCAAAATTTTGAAATTTGAAGCTACTGTACTGCATTATGAATTAGAATTTTGTGTACAGTTAAAATAAATGTAACTTGTTCTTCCCTATTCTTTATATTGGTATAAACTAACTATAAATCCATATATTTAATATTTTGATAATAAATAGAGTGTGTTAAATGCAGTGATATATATCGTAATACGTGACTGCTTCAATGTTGCTTTATTCTGTGTACAGTAAAACAATTTTATATCAACTGTGAGAAAATACACTTGTAATAAATTATTTGCCATGTAAAAAGATGATAAATTGAGTTTCAAAATATTTATTTAGTAACACCAGTAGTCTTGAATTTACTGTATGTACAACAATAATCGATAACCAAGTGAAGCACCAAAAATATGGATGTTGAATATCATCATGAAAGAAGAAATCTTGGCTATGGAATATAATACAAGACAATCAAACATGATAAATAAAGCAGTGCAGTTAAAATTGCCTAAGATGACTAATAATATAAATTTTGTTAAGGTCATACAATTTCTCAATGGCATTTTGGATACGACATAGGCAAGTTCAACTATATATTTCAAAATACTAAACGAAAAATGGTGTACAACAAAAAAATTGAAGCTTTCTCTTAAATTGCAATACCAAATTGATCAGCATGCAGACAGGCATAAACCAGGCATTAAAAAATAAGCACATTTATAGAATAACTTTACACAAGACTGTACAAAGCCATACATTAAAATAGTTGTTCCTGTATATATTGAGCCACATTTTCATACTGTATTATCAACTTCGCACATTATATATTTCAAAATTAATCCTCACAATTTGTTTTATAATTCTGGGTCACATATTTGCTTCGAAAGGATTCCTATTGAATGGGATTACACTGTTTTAAAAAAAGAAAGTACAGTACTTATAATACCATTTACTAATATTAAAGTTATATTGCATGTAAAACAGGTACAGTAATACTCGTACAGTATTTATTTATTTATTCATTATAAATTTGGCATGCAATATAAAGCAGATGCGTAAAAAACAAAAACTAAATGTGTAGCATTTCAATATATCTTCAGAAAAGAAATTACTAGATAAATCATTTTATTTCAATTCTATTTCGGCCTCAATCACTTGCTGCAGAGCTTGAGCATTGCCACCTTCTGCTAACCATGGATTGGACATGTCCATTTCATCATGTCCACACAGATGGAACTGTTTGCATCAAATCCATTCGAGTCTGTCATTTGCTCCTATTGAGTAATAAATATACAGTAGTTACAATAATGCAAAACCAGGTTTGTTAAAAATCAAAAATGTTATCAAACATTGGCATTTGTTGCTTTATCAATCACATACCATACTGAGATACTGTATTTACTCATCTGAAAAGACATTCATAAATTGACAGTATTTTCATTTAAACAAAACTTTTTTTTAATCACTTGTTTGAAGCCTTCCTGTCTGCTAGTGTGTAATGTATTCTTGTTGTTTCTTAATAAAACTGAAACACCAATGCTGATATTTTTTTTACCATGCCAATATATTTGTTTCATGTACTCTGGCTAAATAGTGATGAGATATTCACTTAAATTTCTATTGCTCACATTAAATTGTGCATAGCTTCCATTAAAAGTCTCAGCAGACAACCAGAGTGTTTCTTGCCAAGG